AGCAACACAAAGCATTTAATACATATTGAGAGAAAAGTAGGTAAAATAATTTTATATTAGGCTGATGTTCTTTAGGATGCTTATTTTGTAGATATGACTGTGACTCATCCTGGGGTCTTAGGAAGAATTGCTTTCGATACCACTTCCTGACTATTAGTCGTGGTTCTACAATCATAATCTATAAGACCACTCTAGCCGATGGGCAGGGTACAAATCAGTCAATCAATCAATCAATCAATCAATCAATCAATCAATCAATCAATCAATCAATCAATCAATAAAAGCAAAAGCAAAGTGTGCTGCTTATATACTGCCCCATAGTGCTTCAAGCACTCTCTGGGCTGCTTACAAGTTAATTATGCAGGCTATATATTGCCTACCCAGCAAGCTGGGTACTCGTTTTACCAACCTCGGAAGGATAGAAGGCTGAGTCAACCTTGAGCCGGCTACCTGGGATTGAACCCCAGGTCATGAGCACAGTTTTGGCTGCAGTACAGCGGTTTAACCACTGCGCCATGAGGCTCCATTATAACAGCTCTTTTAGCTGACCTTGCGCTTAAATTATCTTGTGAAGCTGAGAAATTGTTTTACCTTGTACATATATTGGAAACCCTTGTATTGCTCATGGTAATAAAAGTGTCCTGGAGCTAAACAGGTACCATTTTTTTTCTATACAGCCTTCATGATTCTTTTGTGATGCTGCAATAGGAGTGCTGAATTGGAGTCTTTCTATGGAGGAATGCTTATGTGATAACTCTGTAAAGGGATGCTTACATGGGAAAAAGAAATAGGAAGGCTAGTTCTCTTTCCCAGTTCATACACAGTTCTCTTTGCACAAAATCAATAGTACAGTTTGGAAAAGGATGAACTTGAGCAGCAGTGATTCTTCCTTGCTGCTGCTTTGCTTTTTATCCGTGTCCTTTTTACAGTTTTTTAAAATGCAAATTCCTTTTAGCCAAAGCTTATTTTACATCTTCTGTTGTATTTCAGTCTGTGGGCCTCGAAGTTATGTTAAAATAGCTCCTGAGACTCCAGCTTTTGATCAAAAATTGTTTTTATAGTTTGATAAGAGAAAGAGACACCAGCTGAAGTGTTTACCACTTGTACTGAGCTGAACTGAACTGCTCTACACTCTGCTCCAACTGAAATGTCACAGGTTACAGTATTTGCATGTTGTATTCTTCCCAAGTTGTTAAACTTTTCATTTGCAGCTAGTGTGTCAGAATTCTTGTTGCTGTTGCTTCTGCTGCTGCATTTTATTGCAAAGTGTCCATGCTGCTAGTTTATCTTCTCAACATAGAATGTTGGTTCAACATTGATTAGTCCAAGATTTCCAACTCTGTTTTTATCAAAAGATTTTCCTGGGTGTTACTTGTAGTCCCTGCCCATTGTGTTGTACTAATTTAGCAGTTGTGGCTAGTTATGCAAGCAAAGTTGGAATTTCTGTACTGTTTTACTGTGGAGGAGCTTCTGTTGAGTCTAGTCTAGATGGTGTGGCGGAAGCTTTGCTGGTTTGCCAGACATCCTAATGTACCAAAGTGGTACAGCAGGAAAGCATTAGCTCTCACTCTGTAAAAGATGGTTCTTTTTCCATTGCCTCATCTGTCTTTCCCAGTGTAGTGTAGTGGATGAAGTGATGGTTTAGGACTCTTGAGAACAGGGTTCGAATCCCCATTTGTCTGTGGAAACTCACTGGGGGAACGGAACTGGTAAAACCCTAAATATCTCACTTACCTTGAAAGCCCTGTTAGATTCCAATATGATGGCACAAAACACACACAGAAATCTGTCTTTTGTGAGTCAGGACTCTCATAAAAGTGTTTAAAGTTTTGAACATTTAAAATATGTTATAATGGAATGGTGCATTTTTATTTAAGATGCATCTAATCAAATATTGTCCATTAATAAATGATGAGTGCTTGCATATGGAGTCTTCATGGTTTCCAATCTGAAACTCGCTGCATCTTGGATTGATGCAGAATGTGTTATTCTTTCATCTTTCCAGAAGTAATAATCGGCTATGAGGTGCACGAACTTTTCAATTGATCATGAGGCTTGGTTCAGGGTAGTACAAAACTGAGATGTATGGATTTATTAAACCCAAGAACAAATGTATGCCCCAGTGATCCTAATTAGTTTTCCTGTTTTGATGTTTAAAGTCAGAACAAATTTCTTGTCTTGCTACATTTTATACTTCACATATAGACTAAAGCTGAACTACAGAGCAAAATAATCTGTAGCCTTTTTAATAGAATAAGTGCCTTAACAGCCTGCAGCACAATGCCAAAAGTGTTTTTATCATTCTCCTCTTTTCACTGTAAAAGCTTTTCCTTTCTATTACATTTTATTTTCAGTTTCTATAGAAGGGAAACAGCATAAATAGCTTCACAGATTTATGGAATATTATTAGATCCCCCCCTTTTTAAAGATCCCAAAATCCTCTTTTTTCCTTAATGTTACCTTTATAGTTTTAACCTGTCCTTCTCTTTAAATGTTTTGCAAATAATAATTGAATATCCTTGGGTATTGTGTATTAAAAATAAATATGTAGAAGACAGACTCAGCTGCTTAGCAATCAAAACAGGTTTGTAAAGGCGGCTTCTACTCTTATAATTTCTTGCTTGCAAAAGCATTTTCCTGTTTGGAAAAATGTGTAGAAGCCATGGGCTCATAAAAATTGCACGTGTCTGCGTATTCTGTGTATACATGAGACATTCACATTTGATCAGTTACAGCTTACTGTCCTTATCCTGATGTTTGCATGTTATCACAAATGGTGGTGCAGTTGTCATACATGTAGCTGCTGCTTCCTCTTACTTTCTTAAGTGGAAGTACATAGAAAATAACAACTCTTGAAGCACTTTCAAATAGGAAGCCCAATCATGAGGAGAAGGAGAAGTATAGTGTTTTTATAATGTAGGAATTCAGTGAAAAACATTAGCTTGGATGTAATGTTTCCATTGGTTTGTCCTAATGCTTTCCAATCTGTACCTCTCTGTATATTGTACAAGTGGTAAATTTCTTCTCCTTAGAGAAAATAGATAAGAGTTTGATTTTAATCCATGAAAAAGAGAATTTGATTTGATTTATTTATTAGTTGATAGCTGCAGCAGTCATATACACTCTCACTTTGGGAAGTATCACCAATCATTGCGTTTCTCACTTTGCTCCCAAAAATCAAGGGAGGGGGGAATCTTCATGGTCTACATAAAATATGTTGCGCAAAGATAGGATGACAGTAGCCGTGACCTGCCCCAAAACAGGTTTGTTACTTTTAAAAATAATTTTCCAGTGATGCGTTTGGCCCCAGCCATTAACCACACCAGACCCGGTGGCTAAAGAATGAAAATGATGTCTTTTTATTACATGGAAAATCAACTTGGGGACAGATCTAAGCTTCTGTTCTTCTTCAGTTACAACAACCCAACAGCAACAGCACCTTTTTCTTCTGTTAAACTCTCCTTCTCCGCACATTCCAGCCTCCAGCTCCCTCCTGCACCACACAGCCAGTCACCTTGCTTCCCAGTTAACAAGCAGATTGGTCAGGGTTCCCATCACAATAGCCATTTTAATGGATTAGTAACATTACTAACAATAGATTAACTCCCTGGGAGTACATTCTTTATCTCAACTGGAAAAATGTGTTTCAAATGATGATACATTTGTGCAACTTTCATTTTGAGATATTCTGAGATTGTACGCTTTTCATGTGTTGGGAATTTGACCCAGAAAATATATACATTTTTATCATGACTGAAATCCTATTGTTTAGCATAGTAAGTTGCAACTAGAGTAGGCCCACTGAATCACTCGAGATTTGATGAGTCATCTTCCTGTAATTTCCATGGGTGGAATGGGTCTACTCTAGTTGCAACATATTATGTTACACAACAGGATTTCAACCAGTGTTTCTAACATTTAGCAAAGCTCATGAAATGGTGATTTGACTGTATGGACGGAAAAGCCTAAGTGGTTTTAAAGGATTTTAACATTGTTTCACTTTTCTTCAGCTCAACATTCTGCCTAACTTACCTGGCCTGTTCCAAAACTAGTAGGTTTCAGTTTTGAGATGCTCATGTTGTAAATTTACATTACAGTGAAGTGTTGATCAGTGTCTGAATGACTATACAGTGGTGCCCCGCTTAACTATTACCCCGCTCCACAATGAATCCGCTTATCACTTTTGCAATCGCAAAACAATGTTTAGATAGCAAAAAAACACTTTACGATGATCGGTCCCCTGCTTTGGGAACTGATTTTTCACTTTACGACGATCAAAACAGCTGATCGTCGGGTTTCCAAAATGGCCGCCCGCTGATCAAAATGGCTCCCTGCTATGTTAGGGACGGATTATCCACTCTACAGGGAGCAGAAAATGGCCGCCCTATGGAGGATCTTGGCTTTATGATGAGGTATTTCGCCCATTAGAACGCATTAACCGGTTTCTAATGCATTTTTACTTTCGCTTGACAAAGATTTCGCTCTACTGTACAGCAATTTCACTGGAACGGATTAACATCGTCAAGCGAGGCACCACTGTAGTAACAATAATATGTCATCAACTCAATTCTGATTAATGACATCCTTTTGTAAGTTTTTCTAGGTGTAAGTGGTTTACCATTTCCTTGGGAAATTGAACTGTCAACCTCTGGCTCCACAACAATACCTAACTCACTGAGCATGATGAATATTGGCCAGTACTGTATTCTCTTCTGCTTCCACTGAGTGGAAAGTTTGCCAGGGTAGAAACACAGAATTGTGGGGAACAAACATTGCCACTGTTTTGCCTTTGCACAAGTGATAATATTAAGACAGCCTTCTGCTTGCATAATAGCAGTGGTTGTGTAAGTGACACAATTATGATAGTTGAAGCTTTTGCTTAGTGGAAGCCCAATAGGATACTAGTAATGACATGTTTATGTTATTAGTGCACACATGTTGTGTTAGTTATCATCAGTAAATGTGGCCAACCATGCTTAATTTTTTTCTTCATTTTGCAGAAAAGAATTAATACTGTCTGGCACTTTAAATCCAGTTAAAGATTTACATCTTGGAAAATTGGCACTAACTAAGTTTCCAAAGAGTCCAGAAACATGGATTCACAGGTGTGTGTGTCTCTCTCTTTCTCTCTTCCCTCCCCCCCTCTATGATTCCTTACATTCAAATACATATTTCTGTTTGCTCTTTCATGTTTGGGTGACAATTGTCACATGGGAAAGAAACCACTGGAAGATCTGCTGTAAAATTCTGTCTTTAGTTACAGAAATAATGCCTACTCTATGAAGGATTTAGTATCATGTTGGTTCATGTTGCCTCCTTTGTTGTGGGTGTTTAGGTAACAAGAAGAGGAATAGAAGGAAGGTGTGCTTTGTACCATAAGCTAGTGGTTTGTGCAATTCAGATGTTTTTGTTTTGCATTTAAAAAGAGAACTTAGAAAGATATCCAAGAAAAATACCCTTGTTTCTCTATTACCCTTGAGAAACAAGGAAGTAAAGAGTGACTTTATATCTCTCAGTAACATATATATGTTACTGAGAGATGGTGATATGGAAGTGTAAGGATGACTGCTCCTTTGATCTTGTATTGATGTGAGTAGAGACACAAACCAGTAAGCCAGAGTTAATGGTTGCTCCTGTTGTTTCTGAACCAGGGGTTACGGGTGGTGGTGTTCAAACAGGTCCTAGGATTCAGAAGTCAAATTTAGACCCTATTTTATTTTGCTGAGGAGAGCGAGGAGTAGAGCACCAGCCAAATTCTATACATATCCTGGCTCGTTAAGCTGCAATTTGATTATCTAAATGTGGCAAATTCCCTGATGAAGTTGATACTCTAGTCAGCACAGCTACTTCAAAAGGAAGCAGTAGTTTGGAATTTTTAAAATGAACTTATTATCAAAAAGCAGGAACTACTATTTGAAGTAGCTAACAAAAACACTTATCTACCATATGAAGTGTTTTAGATTATTAACTGATGGTTAGTTCGATATTAGTGTGTACCTTATTTTCCCCATTCCACCTTCCTGTTTGTTCTGAATCAAGACCTAGTATACTAAAATAACTAGCACAAAAAAAGATGTGTTCACTCTGTTAAATTGGCTTTTGCATTCTTAACTCTCTCCACTACATAACCAGACGATGGGTGCTGCAACAATTTATTCAGGAAAAGTCCTTGCCCACTGTTGTGACTAAAGGGAATTTGGAAACAGCATCCCCAGAAAGAACACAACAATTAGTGAAGGAAGAAATGGATGTTTGCTGTGAAGCTGCTGGGAGATATCCAAGTAATTATAATGCCTGGTCCCATCGCATCTGGGTTTTACAGAACTTGGCAAAGCTCAATAACAAGGTATGATATAGCAGTGAACAGATCAACATTTTAACCTTGGGGAGAATTTTTATGAATTAGAAGCATTTAATAACATTGAAGGACTAAATCTAAGAGTAAAGCTCAACTGAATCAGTGGAACTTCACTATATCAGCACCTCCATAAGGGTCAAATTGCAGATTACAGATAGCACATCATAGAAGAGGAAATCATGTTAAGTGTTTCAGACATGTGGTTCTGGGAATGCTTGCCTGAGAAATTGGACTTGCAACTAGAAACCCTTTGTTTAGCTTCTGATGTCCAGTAACAGAACCACACATGCTAATCTACAAAGCACAAAAGATGTGAAAAGCTCACAATGTGACAAACAGATATATTTCAGCATCTAAGAAACTCCCATAGTTGATTATATACTATCTGTAATGTATAGTTTGACCCTTACGTCTATTGCTTTAAGCAATCTGCTGTATTTGGGACTAATTCTTGGTTTTAGTTTAAAACACTGCAGTGGAATTTAATTAGTAGGGGCTGATGGAAATCTTTTGAAAAGATAAGAAAGTAATGACATGTACTGTATTGAACTAATGCAAACAGAGTAGACCAATCTAGTAGTTAGAGCTTTAAGATTATTACATAATTCAGATATGTGCTTTAACAAAGGGAGATAGGAGAGTGTGGAAGATAGATTGATGAAGATAGATTATGTACTGGTGCAAAACATCAAGACTGTAACAATAAAAGAAACAATATAATACAGCAAAGGTTTAAATACTCAGATTTTGGGCTTTCTGTTTCCTGTTTTCTCTAACGACACTGCATTGTTAAAATGCAAGTCATGAACTAGTATAGGTTCAAAGAGATGAACCAGTTGAGAAACACCATAATGGCATTTATAAGTGCCTTTCAAATATCTAAAGACATCCTTCAGCTCAGCTTATGCTGGTTTAATGAATTAGCACAACATCAAACAACTGGAACATGGCTAACTGGCTTTAAAAATGCCTTATCAACAGAAACAGAAATGCCTCTTTGAAAAGCAGCTGGTTCCACCCCTTCAGGGTTGTACTCAGGGGGGTGTTCTCTAAAATGGATTATACAAGCAAGTTGGAAGCTGTGATACCTGCACCATTCTAAACTGTAAAAGGACAATATTCTTATGGTTTTAATATTGCAATTTTTCAAGTGTGCCAAGTGTTTTGTGCCTTTGTTTTACACGGGCCCACTGACCTTCAGAAAAGTTGTGCTTGGCTCGGCATTCTTTTCTCTCCACCATTGTCTGCTGCACCACCTGAATGTTTCCATGAAAAATGCTGAGTGTGCAAAAGATGTAAGCCACATTCTCAGCAGGTTGCTGAAAATTCACTTAACAGTCAACACACACGCACACATACAGTCTTCGTCTTGTTACCTGGGAACTTGTGAGAATGAAGAGGACTTTTTAATAATATGAAAAGTATGTCACAGACCCCAGGAGAAACTAGGGCAGTCCAACAGTCTCAATATCATTTTTTTCTCAAATAAAAGGAGACTAAGTTATTTTGTAAAAAGGTAAAAACTCAAAACATGAAATAGGAAATGAACAAAAACTTCTTACCTGTCACTTAACAAGAACAGTTCTCAGCTTTTTAAAAGAAAACATAATTCCAGTAAAGTTAAGACGAACATTCTGGAGTTTAATCCAGGGCGAAATATGAATGCATTATTATGTTTCCTGTGCCCCACGTTCAAAGAGGCCCATGTAAAATTTCTGACAAGAAGGCTCAGTACACGGATTTTGAAAAATTGAGAGGAAATGTTTGTCACATGGTGTTTCGAACTTGAGTGAGTTAAAAATGAAAACTTGTTTTTCTGGGTGTGTATTAAAGCGTACCAGTGAGAATGGGGGGACGACCCTTCTGGCTGTTGATCTGTACTAGATTTTACTTCACTATCCTCCATGAGCGTAGGTGTTACCAACCCTTTCTGTGTTGACTTAACCTGCTGCTTTCCAAGTATGTAGTACCATCATCTCCAGCCAGCAAGGGGACATGAAAGGAGCCTTCCTAAAGAATATGAGCACATTTGGGCATCCCTGGGCAATGACAGCACCTGTCAGCTGATCTTTTCATTCTAGAAATACCAACATGCGGTGGTTTGAATACCACTGGATAAGTTTCACTATATGGCCTCAACAGTAGCCTTCAGCTGGCCATCAGTGACTGGCCCTTGTCAGCACTAAAGCTAATCATGAACTTGATTAACATAGGGGGCTTAGGATGATGTTGTTGTTGCTTAGTTGTTGTGTTCGACTCTTTGTGACCCCATGGACCAGAGCACGCCACGCTCCTGTCTTCCACTGCCTCCCGGAGTTTGGTCCGGGAGGCAGAGGATGATAGAGAAATAATAACAGTGGAGCTAAATAAATGCACAGTATCCTCCCATTTATAAACTGCCTAATATAATTTTCATAAGCAAAATATATATATTTTTTTAATAATCTAAGACTTCAGTTGCCATAGCAATATCTGGGGATATGTACTCAATGATAACAGTGGAGAAGCTGCACTAAAATGAGTGGAAGCATGTTAACTAGCCCTTATTAGTGATAGCAGACGTCCCTCTTCTTTCAGTAGCAAAAGATATCAGCATGGTTATAACCCAGACTTGATATTTGCTGATAAGCCTTTTGCCCAACAGTGCTGACATCAGTCTATACCTGAATTCCAAATACACAGCACTGGCGCATAGTTCTCCAAGTCAGGGCACTGAGTTCAGTACAACATTGAATACAATTATTGAACATTTGTCTGGTCCCAAAAGCCTATGAACACTTCACTGAGGCAGTGAAAAATAATCATCCTATCTGTACCCTAAGGATGCAAAACCTACTACCCCCAAGGCCTAACAATAGAAATAGTCGCCCAAATGGATAATTATTTTTCACAACTTCCTTTGAGAGAAGAAGTCATTTTGACTGGGCAGCAATTAATTTCTTTGGAGTCAGAAATTAAGAGAGATAAATTGATACAATTTATGGAAGAAATAAACATGTCAAGAAACAGTCAGAAGGCCTGGAAATCATGAAAGAGGCTTAACAATGATCCAACTAAAGGCCCTTCTCATGTAAACATTTCAGCAAATCAAGTAGTCCATCCAGATCTGAACATCAACATAGGGAATTGGAACTTAAACTTGTAAGAAACAAGCAGCGGAAAACTAATGACCTTAACAAGGACCATTCTGCTTAAGCAAACTGAGAGAAGCAGTTTGTACCTGCAGAAATGACAAGGTAGGAGGCCTGGGTGCCATCCATGGAAAATAGGTAGAGCATTTAGACATAGTAAGAAAAAAGTGGATCTTTTATTTCTTTAACCACTGTTTTGACTCTCTCAGGGTTCCAAAAATTTAAAGAATGTTATAAGTAATGTAATTGCTATTTTGAAATCTGGTAAATAACTCGCAGATAAATAATAAAAAAAACAACCATTAGGCCAATCTCTCTACTTTGTCTCCTCTGCAATGTCCTGGAAAGAATGATTGCTAACTATAGACCTGGGAAGAATTGTACAGCAGAAATTCTACATTTAACATAACATAACAAGGACAGCTTTGAAACTAGAAATACTACAGGAGTAGCCTTTGTTGATCTCTTGGTCTTCTGTGATGCTGTTCATCATTAAGTTCCACTACAACAATTCTGTAATCTAACCAAGGGCTATAACTAAAGTAATAGCTATCCTTTTGCAAAATCACAAATTTTCATTAACTTTCAGGGACAATGCAGCTAATGGAGGACTCAAAATAATGCTCTACACCGGAGCATTGTATTGGCTCCTGTTTTAGATAACATCTAAACCAGGGGTGGGCAATTAATTTCTATAGGGGGCCACACGAAAAATCTGAACTTTGTTCAGGGGCTGAACCAACTTTACTTAAAAATAAAATGAAACAGTGATGTTATGATTGTTTTTATTTTAAACTTGTTAATCTTCACAAATACTAAAGACAAAAAGCTATAAACGGTTTTGATGTTCAGCTTGTTCAGTGAGAGAAAACCAGTCTGTCTTGGGCTTCAACAAGTGCTTGAACACTGGACTGGAGCGATGACCAGTGGGCGGACAGAAGCGGCTCGCGGGCCGTATGTGGCCCTCAGGTCGCACTTTGCTTAGGTCTGATCTAAATCAACAATTCACCTCTTCAAGTCATCAAGCATTTTATTTATTCTGACAATCTTGGGCTTGCTGCTCAGATGGATGGTAGAACATCTTCTAACAGATGCACCAGAAGAACTAAGCACATATTATGAAAGAAATCAGCTTAAACCTAACCCTGCTAAGACTCAGATATGTGCTATCCATCTAAAAAACAAGGAGGCATCTCAGAAAGTTTGGATTACTGAATTGGATCATTGTTTTGCCTCCAAATGCCAAGGTGTTACTTTGGATTGTATGTTAACTTATAATATATATTGCCAAAATACAAAGCAAAAGGTCTCATTGCAACCAGAATATATAAGAGGTTCAAAATGAAGCTGAAAAAATATAACTGTCTTTATAAACACTAGCAGTGAAGGAATCAATTGGATGTCAGCTGGGGAAGGCATTCCAGAGAATGGGAGGCGGCCCCCAAAGGAAAGGCCTTTTTGCACATTGTTAAAGAACAACTGGAAATGCTTACTATAAGAAGGGCCTCTGTGTAAGATCTCAGTTCTTGAGCATGATAATATAGAGGATGTATATCTGGTATCTTACCTTTGAAATGGAAGCAAGAGAGAAAGAAAAATCAGTCTAGGCTGATTCCAAAAGGGATGGCTCCATGCAGGTCCAAGCCCATCAGTATGAACATATAGAAGACCGCTCAAAGAACAAGTGTTAAAAGCAACTTGGGTTTTATCCCTCCTGGTTAAAGAGTAAGTTACAGCCAAATTGAAAGTCTTACCATAACATAGGAATTTGTATCCGGTCCATGGTCTCTTCTCCCTGCCATTCCTTTCCTCTTTGTGCCTGCCATTAGTCTGCCTCTCTCCACCCCTTTGCTTGTTCCTTGTTCTTTTCTGTAAAAGCAGGGGCAGTTGTAAGGAAAAAGAGGATGAGACTGGGAAGCGGATACATATTCTTGGCAGTCCAATCATAGAGTATGACCGCTAGAAAAGTTTATTATTCTTTTTGACGGGCATTCCAATTGTTGCCCTCTTTGCAGTTCAGAGGTCCTTTGTGAGCATGTCTTTAATCTTTCACCCCTTGTTTCCAGCAAAAGTAGTAACTTTGAAGAATGGGATATAAGGGGAACTTATTTGGATGCCAAACTACAGAGCATGGTGGCTAGAGTTGTTTTACTTCAGTTGGAAAAAATTATCTAATTGGAGTAGTCTGTGGGTGAATGTTCCCACTTGTGTGCGAAAGAGGCCAGAGGCATTCTGCTGAGATAGAAGAGAAATAGAGGGAGAAATGGAGGATGGGGTCTATGTTTGAGTATGAGAAACAAAGGCTGGATGGATCAGTGGGAGGATGAATGAATTGGGTATGTTGAAAATGATGGGGAAGTGCAACATTTTTGAAAAACAGAATGGATCAGTACGTGAAAAAAGGAGAAGGAAAGAGAAGACAAAGTGGCTCAAATCACTTTTGTCTTTGGTGCTGTGCATCACTGGGATGTAGTCCCCAACTACTTTTCCCTGAGGGAATACAGCCCTTAAAAATTCACCACCTCTGCCATAAAGGATAATATGAAGACTGAAGGGAGAAAGATGATAATCTTACTTCTATGGGAAGTTTAAATTTCCTGTCTGATTTTGGTTTTCAGGTTCTTCTTGATGAACTTTCTTCCACTAAGCACTGGGTTTCCATGCATGTTTCAGACCATAGTGGATTCCATTACCGTCAGTTTTTATTAAAATCTTTGATGGGCAGAACTGGGACTGACTGTACTGTGCAAGTGTGCAATCAGCCAGGCAATCAGCAAGCACCCAGTCTTCCAGAAGAAGAAGATGATGATGATGATGCAGAAACTGCCTGTGCAGAACAACAGCAGCCAAATCACCCTCTTCTTCTAAAAGAGCTAGAACTCTGCACTGATTTGATTAATACTTTCCCAGGCCATGAAACCTTGTGGTGTCACAGGTAAGGAAATATACTCAATAATATGAGGTTGAAAGGAAATACTTGCTCCTCAGATATAACTTAATTTTCCTGAGCGATTGCAAACCATGATTCTGCTGGTCTGGGGTGACAACAGAGAAAGTTTCCATGTCTACATGATGCCAATGCATAAAGCTTGCTGTGTTGAAGCAGAAACAATGTTTTACAAGTAGCTTTATTCTGTTGCTACTGAATTGCTTTGCAATAAAGAAAAGTTCTTTTTTAAAACTTATTTAATAAAGTACTTAGAACCCATCTTTAAGCCAGAAATCTCCAAAACAATCTGTGTAAAACAATTTGGATTAAAGTCTCTACTGTATCTTAAAAATCTCCAGAAACAGTTCTGCAGCACTGCATAAGCATTTGGGTTCTCTAGAATTCTTTATAAGACCATATGGTTAAAAAAATAAGATCTTGGGGTGGGAGAGGGACACAGAAGTCACAAAATCTGGCTAGATGAGGCTTCTCTTGGGGCTGCAGCCAAGAAAGCAAAGTAAAAGTAGAATGGGAGTTTCACAACTTTGGTGCCACTGCAGAGAAGACCCTGTTCTGTCACCATCCACAGCATTTCAGATGCATCTTTCATTACTTGAATTCTAGTCTAGGGTTGCCTTCCACCTAAAAAACATTTTACCTTACAGTGATATATTCCTTTAATTTTGATGTCTGATATCTATGAAATATTATCAAGTTTCTTAGAATTCTATGTCCTAGCCCAACAAAGAATGGCTTTAACCAGATGAGAATGTGCAACATATTTTTCTTCATTTCTTATCTCCACTGTAACCACACACACACACAAATATCTCAAGAAGTTTAGGAGGCCTACATAACACTAAGAAAACATGTCTGCAGTGGGCTGCAGTAAGGGGGAAGTTGCCTTAAATCAAAAAAATTGCCTGAACAGTAGAAGATGGCTATGATCCTATAGGGCAGTGGTTCCTAACCTTGGGTAACCTAGGTGTTCTTGGACTGCCACTCCTAGAAATCCCAACCAGTGGTGAAGGCTGCTGGGAATTGCAGTCCAAGAATACTTTGGTTACCCAAGGTTAGGAACAACTGCTTTAGTACATTTCCCTAGCCCCATTGCCATACAGTAAGACATATTTCACTTACTTGAAGTAATTGTTAAATAGAAGGCTCTCTGTACCCAGTTCCCTTGTTGCACTACAAGTAATGCATTCTAATCAATACTGTGTTGCTTATTTCAATACTGGTTTGAGGTTTTACCATGGTTAAGGCCATAAGAAGCAGGAGGAGCTCAGTCACTTACGTACGAATTATTGATTAGGGATGAGAAATTGCTGGCAGAGTGCCAAGTTTTAACGGTTTTTTTCAGAAGTAACAGTAGTAGTTCAGATATGTTGGGTCCAAGTGATTAGAGATACGTACATATAGCTCATAGACAGTACTTAAATCTGTCACTAAGAAAATGAGCAGACAGTGCTGCTGCTGGGACACTGGGGCAGGACACTCTGGCAGTCGCTGTTTTCAAAGTTGAATGATCTATCCCCAGACCCTGACTTTTAACAATATTAACTATGCCACTTTAACAACTTGCAGATTAGTCATATTTATTTGTTTAATAAATAGTAAAGGCCTTCCCCCTTCCCCATAATCCTCTTATTATGTTGTTTCATGAAGCTTCACAGCTACACACACAGCACTGCACTGGGTGTTCATGTTATTTACAAAATGATTACAGTGATAGGCTTTTATATATCATGCTGACTTTGCTGAATTAGTTGTTAGCCTCATTAAAAAAATGCATATGTACAGGGGTCTGTGTATTGCAGGGGGAGGACAGGGTGGCTAGAAATAGTTTACAATCAGGTGTACTATAAGAAATGCTGGAAGTTTTGTTTTGTTTTGTTCCCCCCACCCCCAATTTCTTTTCTTTGAAGACGACATGTATTCTGCCTCCAGCACCACTTAAAGAACAAACTTCAGCTTCCAAGTGTCTGGTCAATGACGGTGGACAGTAGCGATGGAACACTGAATAACACGCACTCTGGTGTTGCTTTTGATCTTGTGACTCAAGCCATGGATATTGATGGTTTGAATGAAGCTCGCAAACAAGGCTACACTCAAGAAACCAAACGTCTGAAACGTGCTCCTATGCAGGACTCTGTCAGTCTAGAAGCAGAGTACAGGTTCATTGATCATGTTTTATCAACATGTAGGGAAGTGGAGCAGGCAAGATTTGCGGGTGCATATAAAAAATGGCTGGTTTCTTTTCTAGGTCAATGAAGAAGATTTAAACAAAACACAACAACCTGCAGGGTACTTTGTTTAGTGCAATATTCTCTTTTCAGATACAGGTGTGCATAATGAAATCTGGCACTTTTCATCCTATGTTGTTGCTATCAATGTGAAACATTATTTGCCAGTGACGCCTTTAGATTAATCTATATTTTTAAAAGAACCATGATGTTAATTATTTAGATGCTTTTCTAAATTTCTGTCTCTAGAGGGTAACTCCATATCATACAATTCCACAATCTAGTACAAACTAAACTACTTCTCCATTAAATTAAGATGAAAACAAGTATTTAGTTGTTGATGTAAGTAGTGTTGCCAGAAAGAAAGGGAAAAAAAAGAAAACTGGGTCTGCTGATTGGCAGTAAATTCATTTCTAAACCTCTCTCCTCTAACATCTAATCTAAGGCAGTGGTAAATGAGGACAAACAGCAAACCATTCAGAACATTCACACAGACACAGTATTGGCCAGAGTGGGTTTGAATGGAAATCTTTTCATCTTCTCATTGCATTGTTGCCTTGCACCACTGCAAGGTTCAGGCTGCTATTGATCTGTTTTCGGTTTACATTTGGATTACTCTGATGACCATAGTGCTATGACGTCTATTTTCATTGTAGTATCTGTTCTAATTGAATATAGTTGACTGGAAATTGTGGGACAGTTTTAAAAAAAAACAGAAACTCAAAACAGATAGAAACACACACATACACAGACTTCTATGTGTCATATATCATATTTTGACATTATTCATTTTCTTAAGCCAGTGTTAATTTTGCATATTTCAATATGTATTGTGAACACTACAGAATTACCTAGACCCTTATAACTAAGATATGCCATAGATAAAACACTACACATATTAAAATGAAAAGAATGAAGGTGACAGCAGGCTTTTTTTGGTCTGTGTTTAAATTATGACAAAAACTAAGCATTTTCCTATAAATGTATAGATTCTTCTCATTGAGAAGACCTCTTCTGTTTCCTGTTAGTGCTCATTTCTCAGTTATTTATAAATCTCTCAAACATAGACTGGGATGGAGAGAAAATTCTCTTGTTGTCAAGCTTTTATTTCTTACTGCTTTGTTAACACCACAGTGAAGTATGACTGATTTGTTCTGGTATTTTGTTAGTGCTGACCTACATTTCAGATTCCTAAACCATTGTAGCAACACCATGCAAAATGCATGAGTACAGCCCACTGAACAGAATTCCAGCAATAAAGCTCATCCAAGTGTTGCGTGTGAACAGGGTTCCGCACTTCCTTTTGTCAAAGTAGCAGCTTTATTTGCTTCCAGTGAGATTTGTTCTTGCAGAAGTCAATAGGGAAGCCATTGATAAGTTAGAAACTATGTAGAAAGATGTATTCGCGAAAGCTTTCACGGCCGGGATCTAATGGTTGTTGTAGGTTTTTCGGGCTTCTTGGCCATTTTCAGAACACGGCCAAGAAGCCCGAAAAACCCACAACAACCATATGTAGAAAGAGTTTCAATTTAATCAGTAATCAGTAAGTCTTCAATTTAATCAGTAATAAAGGAAAGACCTGTTTATTATATAGCCCTTTGAGAGGGTACATGAACACACACATGGAAGGCCATGGAGCAAAATATACGTTGCCTGTGCCTATATTCCTTGTAAAATGCTATTTTTCTGTGTAAGAAAGTGTTTGGAGGAGTACGAGTAATGGCCAGCATCCTAAAACTGAGTCTGTTATCTAAACATTATATTGCAATGGTTAATTTAAACACTCTTTGGAACAAATTAATATCCCAGAGGAAGAAAAGTCATGTGTAAGGGGTTTTTTACGCTCTCACAAAGTCAGAGGTGTTGTTGGGACATAGGGAAATACAAAACAGTTGTGTAGTCCTCGGGCATTCATTTAATACCATCCCTTTTCTTAGTTTCTGTTTGCATACATAGTTTCTTTGTAGCTGCTACTTTACCAGAAAGTGTAAAACTTCTCATAGCTGGGCACATTGTGTTGTTACTAGAGGTATTGTCATGCTAGAAGCTATGTTGACTTCTCATATAATTTTATTGTTATTAAGACTTCTTAATTGAAAACAACATTTAGTAACCTCTGGAATTGGTGTGTTCTCCTTTCATTGCAGTGAGATCCTGTGGGGCATCCAAGCACATCCCATTAAATAAGTAAATGCGCAACAGCATCCCATGGAAGATGTCTTTCATTTTTGCCATTGTCAGGTTCATCTACATTAATATATATGGCAGAGGAGAGGAGAAGATACATAAAATGAGGATGCAATAAATGTTGGTGGCCAGATAATTTTACTTTCTCTTTGATTTTTAAACTCAAGTCCCAGTTAGAATCTGTAGAGCTATATAAATATAAAGTTAGCTCTGCTTATTAAATTTGACAGCCCATCTATTATCATAGACATAAGGTCAAACTCTTCCCTCAAATATGCACTTGCACCTTCCAGAGATAGCAGTAGGAATTGTGTATGCAGAAACGGAGACCAGGTTCCAAGCCAAGCAATCAAGTAGTGAAGCATTTTTGGATTTTTAATTAGCCTCAAAACATGCAAAATATAGGAGAGATTGTTAAGGGGTTTTAAGGGAGATAAAAAAGAATCAAAAAGGCTTGTGGGGGTGGAATATCTTTTCTAGATCTGTAGGAATTACTGATTAAGAATTCTAATGGAAACAAAAAAGCAAATAAAATAGTCTTGCTTAGTACTTACACTAATAGGGGCCTATAAAAAGAAAGGAAAAAAAGATACAATTACAGGCAAGATGAAAACTAGTTTATGGATCACTGCTTATAGCCAGTACTTTAACATTTAATTCTGGTAGCTTGTGTAAAATCTGTGCAAGTTCCATTTTACTTTAGTAATGTATTCTCCAGTGGAGAAGTTAGTGACATTGTATAACCGAATGATCATAAAGTTGTGAACTCTTAATTTCACCGGTTTCTTTGAAGTCCCAGATTGGGAGAAAGGCTATGTATGCTGCAGTCACATTTATTCAGCTGTGCCTCTGGGCACTGGATGATTACCATACATTAAAAGTCACTGCACACAGCTCTGCAGTGCTAAATAATACTGAATTGAGCACTTAGTGTGTTGGAGGTCAAAATGTTGAAATTTAATGATTGAACCAGGGCATTACTGGAGAAACCACAAGCCACTCTAGCATGAAGCTCTAGCTTGTTCTCAGATTTCTTTGAATTGATACAAATACATCAGAAATCATCAAAGGGCAAACAGCATGGGAATTCAAGGAGCATTGGGGCTCTTTCATTCTGCACTTTTATCATGTATGAACAGATTCAGTTCCATACTCTTAATAAGATTTGGGTCGTATCTTTTTGGTAACATGGATTGCAGACATTTATAGACGTTTCCTGACGTTTCTTTTAAGAGTGTTAATGAGGCCAGCATAAGCAAACATTTGTTAAGTAATGCATAGTTTTCTGCAACAATGTGCAGGTGTGATAATGCTCAGCAGTTGACTCTTTATCCCATGCAGTGTTACTGAGATAAACAGGCAGTATGTAAAAAGGTGTTCTTGTGACACTGTAGCCAGAATCTTGTTGGGATTTTACCTCAGAGTAAGTAAATGTATATAAGTTGTACTGGCAAATCATTGCTAATTAACAAGTCTCATGGCTGACAGATACATAATTTTAGTTACTCCAGTGTAAAATATCAGTGGAATTCAGACCACTTAGTTATGAAATGACTGGTCTTATAATAGCCTTCTAAAGCAGGATTGGATAAAGTGTTAACTGCCCCCGTGTTAAAGATTGCACTATGGTAAATACCATGTTAAGCCATTTCCTTCTTTTGTCTCTTTGTTTTGTTTTTAAATCTTTATTTTTAAATTAATGGAAAGTACCCGTATGGAGCCATTTTTTTTGGGAAATAAATGCATTTCTATTCATGGCAAAAACTGGCTTGGCTACCATTTGGAAGAATTGTTGTAGAAATTATTATGGCATATAGAGGAGAGTCCCTGGCCTGTGAGGCATCTGGTCTCAGAATGTTCTTCATGGGAATATCCTTTCCTAATCCCCCCATACCTTTGATCTACCTCTCAGTATGTCTGCTTAGAAGGTTTTGTCTGCTACATGCATTCTATGATTGGGATGGCAAGCAAAGTTAGCTCTGGACTGAGAAATCACTCAAGGAGCCACTTGCTGAGATTCCCATTAAATCTGCTTCTTCCAGATTTCACCTTTTGTTTTTTTTTTATTTTCCCTTTGCATGAAGCAAGCTTGGGGAGGTAGACTGCAAAACAATCAGAGCAGATACTTTTAATATTTTCAGCAGTAAAATAATGATATGACAAACCTTAAAGTTCCACACGGATCTGGATTGAGCTGTAGTGATGTGGATTAAATTGTAATGCAAACCTTAAAGTTCCACACGGATCTGGATTGTAATGCAGGTTGTTGTTTAGTCGTTAAGTCTTGTCTGACTCTTCGTGACCCCATGGACCAGAGCACGCCAGGCCCTCCTGTCTTCTAGTGCCTTGCGGAGTGGTTAAATTCAGTCAACTCCTCTGTAAGTTCTACTCATTTAACGGGCTTTGTTGTTGTTTAATCCTTAAGTCGTGTCTGACTCTTTATGATCCCATGGACCAGAGCACCCTAGGCCCTCCTGTCTTCCATTGCCTTCTGGAGTTGGGTCAAATTCATGTTGGTAGATTCGATGACACTGTCCAGCCATCTTGTCCTCTGTCGTCCCCTTCTCCTCTTGCCTTCACACTTTCCCAACATTTTTCCAGGGAGTCTCCTCTTCTCATGAGATGGCCAAAGAATTCGAGCCTCAGCTTCAGGATCTGTCCTTCCAGTGAGTACTCACGGTTGATTTCCTTCAAAATGGATAGGTTTGTTCTCCTTGCAGTCCAGGGGACTCTCAAGAGTCTCCTCCAGCACCACAATTCAAAAGCATCAGTTCTTTGGTGGTCAGCCTTCTTTATGATCCAGCTCTCACTTCCATACATTGCTACTGGAATAACCATAGCTTTGACTACGCGGACCTTTGTCGGCAAGGTAATGTCTCCGCTTTTTAAGATGCTCTCTAGGCTTGTTATCGTTTTCCTCCCAAGAAGCAGGCGTCTTTTAATTTCATAGCTGCTGTCACCATCTGCAGTGATCATGGAGCCCAAGAAAGTAAAATCTGTCACTGCCTCCATATCTTCCCCTTCTATCTGCCAGGAGGTGATGGCCATGATCTTAGTTTTTTTAATAATGAGCTTCAGACCATTTTTTTGGCGCTCCCCTCTTTCACCCTCATTAAGAGGTTCCTTAATTCCGCTTCACTTTCTGCCACAGAGTGGTATCATCTGCATATCTGAGGTTAT